TGGATTCCATGACAATCTGAAGGAGCAGGACCCCTATGTTTATTGCAACACTATTTACAATAGCCAAGATATGGAAGCAACCTAGGTGTCCATCAGTACATGGACCTTCTATGAAGCCTCCAGAAAGGGGGGCACATGGTAACCACCTTGATCTGACCACACTTCTAACCTACAGAACTCTGAGATGATAAATTTGTGTTATTATTCATCATTAAGTTTGTGGTAATCTATGAAACAGCAAAAGCAAACTGATACACTGAGATTCAAATATCTGAATGTTAGGTGGTTAGTATTTAATTATGCTCTTGAAGGCATATTTTCTGAGGCCGATACCTGATTCTAACAAAACTCTGTCTTTTTAGCTTCTGTTTCTTGATTAAGAGAAATTGGGAGAGTAGAAAAAGAACTGTTTTCCGTTAGCATGAAGAAGCTGAAATTTATCTTCTTTCAATGATATAATTTTATTACCCTTAATGCATAGTTATCCTTCTGTCGCTGGCTTAAGAATTTTCTAGTTTAATAGCTTCATTATGGTCCACAATTTGACTTTAGTTTTCTATACTGGATATTTATTTCACAAATATTAGATTTATTGTAAAAAATTGTTTTATGCAATCAGGACGTTGTGGCTGTGATCTAAAGTTACCTAGAGTTATCTGAGAAAGCAATGTTCATTCTGTACTCTTATTTTACTTTTTTGTATTTAACTGTATCCCAGAGAAAGAAGGGCAGGTAGTCCAACTGACCTGTTTCTCCTCAGTATGATGCTCTTCTTCAGCTTTCAAGGAAACTGGTGAACTGGAATTAGAATTAGAATTGCTGCACGTTGAGGCTAATGAATCTGGTGAGGAGTTGTTCGTTGCTCTCCAAAGGGTGGATGCAGATGTGGACATGGTCCCTCCACCCTTAAGCAAGGTCTCTGCCATACCAACCAATTCCTCAAACTGGGTGACTGCCTGGGGTAACACTAAAATGGCAAGAAAAAGTACTACTTTACAAATACTTTTCATACCAGGGGCATATATCTATATTTTTTACTGTGTGTATATGCATCAAAAATAGGTGGAACCAATTGTTAACATTTGCTACCTTTGGAAAATAAACATGGTAAGAAGAGTGGTTGGAATGTATTTACTGTTTCTTATTTAACATAATAATTGCTTAATAAAAATGAATCACTTTTAAAGTATTTTATTATATTTAATGTATATGCATTACTTTGTAACTAAGTTGCATGTTTTGAAAAATTGGTTCTAATTGCAAATAGTATTATTTGAAGGTGTTTAATCTCTTTGTTTGGAGACATTACTGATTCTATTATCAATCACCTTCTAGTCATTCACATTAGGCCAGTTTAAGTGACAAGATAAAATAAAGCATTTCTTACAGATTAAAATAAATTTTCAATGACCTTTCTATGTTGCCAGGGAGTCAGATTCCATCAACTTAATAAAAACTAGTTGCCACAATTCAAAAGTATGTTTTCACATATTAAAGAAAAATTTTGGCATTCTACTGAATGTTCTCTTTGTTCCTTTTTTTAATGGAAACTTACACATTCAAAGGTTTCATGCTTCCATGTAAAATGGTCTTCTCAGTTCTTATATCTAGTTTGTTTCCTAAGGACAAATAACATTGTGTTGGCGTTGGAAGACACCTTGAATCCTATCTAATTCAACTCCTCCCTCTATGGTTGAGGGTACTGCTAGAGAAGTGAAAAAACTCTTTTTCTTTTTTTACTTTTCTTAAGCATATTATTGAACTATAATATTCAGAATAATAATTTGATTCAAGAGCTGAAAATCAGGCATATTGATGACATGTCCTAATCAATACATCTGGTACTATATTAATAGAAAAATAGGGAAATCTAAAGAGAAAAATCTTGTTTGATATTCTTTCAATTAATATTTACTAAGCACCTCTCATGTGCCAGACACTTATTCAATCAGCAATTATTTATTGAGCATTCACTGATATTAAACATTGCCTAGTTTTTACTCTGTGCCAGGCATTGTTCTGAGAACTTTAATGATGTTCATTCTGTTAAACCTCATTGCAACTCTATGAGATAGGTATTATCATCATCCCCAATTTACAGATGAGGACAATTAGGTACTGGGAAGGTTAAATAATCTGTCCAGGGTCAACACAGTTAGTGAAAAGAAGAACCAAGATTCAAATTCAGATTCTGTCACTTCCATGCTATAAACGACTCTATTATGCAGACTGAACATTTGTCAACCTCAAGTTAGGGGCCAGGGATAAGATGGGGAGCAAAACCAGACGTGATCCTAACACTTTGTAACTGAGAGGGGGTGGGGGGCACATTATTTATATAACCATGCCATGTAGGAAGAATATGGCCTGCTCAAAGATCTGGCTTCCCCATCAACCCCCTCTGCTGGGCAGTAACCTCTAAACTCTTGGAATTTCCTGAGTGATATAAGGGTCTTTGTTCTTCATGATGAACTCTTTACACCACACCTGATAGTTTACTTAAGGAGTTTCTCGGGGTGGGAACAATCACCCCCAATAGTTTTAGGGTAGAAGCTGGCCACAGCCACGAAGCCAGAAAGGCTTAGAGACTAGTTCAACCAGATAGGCAATCAATGAACCTCAGTAAAAACTTTGGACACTGGAGCTCAGGTGAGCTTCCCGGGTGAACAATACTCTGCATATTGTAAAACATAGATGCCAGGATGCTAATGCATCCTGAGGACAACAGAAGCTTCACGTCTGGAAACCGCCCATACTCTGCCCTGTGTGTCTCTTCCAACTTCGGCTGGTTCTAATTTGTACTCTTTCTGTATAATAAATGTAACCATGAGTGTAATGCATTTCAGTGAGTTGTGAATTTCTCTAGCAAATTATTGAAACTGAGTGTGTCTTTGGAAAACTCTGGAACATGTAGTTGGTATAAGAAGTCTTAGGCAGATTTAGTCTAGAGGAAGTTGAAGACTGAACAGGAATTAAATGGCTGGAGGGAATGAAGTGGTCATCAGACAAATAGGAAATACGAGCTCTGAATCTGAGGAACTGCAAGAAGGCCAAGGCTAGAATGTAAAAAAGAAAAAGGGAATTTGATGTAAAGTGAGCTTTCAAAAATATTTACTGTTTTCTCTAATAATGG